GGGCCAATGAAGCGACTGCCTCCGGGTAATGCTCTATGACTTTTGCAGGTGAGACCTTAGGGTGTATCCACAGTAGTGGTCCTTTCTGCCAAATCACCGCTGTAGGCTGTAGACTAGTCTGTAGCAAACAGACATCAAAGGGTCGCCCTGGTTCAATTCTGTGTAAGGTAGCCCCACCTAAGGCTTTTTCCACTCTCTGTAAGGCAGCTCTTGCCTCAGGAGTGAGCCTCCTGTGGGAGGCTATATCTGGGTCTCCCTTCAGAAGGTCGAACAGGGGTTTGAGATCTGAATTTGGTATATGTAAATATGGCCTAATCCAATTAATGTCTCCCAATAGCTTTTGCATGTCATTTAGGGTCCTAACGCCATCCATCCTAATGGTGACCTTCTGTATAAGTCTGGAGGCGACACTGAGGTCCACACCTGCTGACCCAGGGGTGGCCCTTGTTGAAGGCTGCCACCCTGAGCTGTCCTGTCTCTGGGGCGGGGGCCCGCCTGTGAAGGGGGCCCCCTCTGGCCATTTTTTGGCTCTCTAGCATCTTGTCCACAAATACGGTTGCCCTGAGCATCAAAGACCGACCTACACTCCTCAGCTTTGTGTGATCCCTTTTTGCATCGCCCACAAACATATGGTTCTTCATTCCTAGGGCGAGGCCTAGCATCTGCATTGTTTGGGCAATGACGTTTAATGTGTCCTGGCTCCCCGCAGGCAAAACACCCTTTAGCCTTACATTCCCCTTCTAACCCGCGAGGTCCCCTCTGCTGTACAGCCGCGGCCAGGAGAGCAGCCACTCCCGAGTTGGAGAGCGGCCCCCCTATCTCTCTGCATATCCTAATCCAGGCGTTGAGGTCCTTGTTCTTATGAGGAGCTATCGCTGCCTTGTACTCCTTTGTACATTGCTCAAAAATCAGCTGTCTTACCAGCGGTTGAGCCACTCCCGGATCAGGAAATATCTTATCGGCAGCATCTTGCATTCGGGCCACAAAGTCAACAAATGGCTCCGTGGTACCCTGAATTATTTTTGAAAGACACAAGGAGGCTGTTCCGGCACCACTTACCTGTTTCCAGGCGCGGAGCCCTATGGCATTGATTTGTTCATAGACAGCGCCGGGGAACTGGGTCTGGTCATCAGCGTGCCGACCTTCTCCCATAAGCATTTCCTTGTTCCACCCCCGGTTTCCCCGATTGGCGTTTCTCTCAGCCTGCTCTGCAGAGAACTCTGCGTACCAGGCTCGCCAATCCAGGTAACTGCCCGAGGGCAGACACGCTTTTGCCAGCTGAATCCAGTCCGCGGGGGTGAGGGGCCCAGAAGACAGATTCTCCAGCATGGCAATGGTGTAAGGCGCAGTCGGCCCAAAGGTTGTAACTGCATTTTTAAGTTCTCTAATCTGCTTTATCTCAAAAGGCTCCCATACATTGCGTCCCTGGCCCATAGCTACTTGTACAGGAAATATCCCGTAGGGGCCACTATCTATCCCAGGTGGATGTACCTCATGAGACAAGCGTCCCCCCTGCCAAAGCCGCCTGTAAAAATACCGACCCGCCGGCGGCGGAGCATAAGACAGCGGCCGTGATTGGGCGGAAAATGGGGGCCCGTGCATCACTTCCTGTTCTGGCGAAAGGGGAGAGAGCTCCCAGGCGGCCGCCTCGTGGCGAGGAATCGCCTCCGGAAACGGCCCTCAAGGTGGGGCGGAAGGCTTCGCCTCCCTCTCGCGCCGGGGAGCGCTCAGGAGCTCTCTACTCCTCCGCAGACCAGGTTGAGCAGAGCGCAATTCGCGGGGCAACGCTGGAAAAGAACCCTGCGACTCCTTATTGAGCGATTTAGGCTCCTGACAGCTGGTCTCTTTGGCCTCCTTGCCATTCAACTTTCCCTCGTCCTCGGAGTCAGACGACTCCGAGGCTAGAGCCCCGTCCTCCTCCTTAGCATCCTTGTTCCCCTTGACGGACCCCTCTCGGGAGCTCCCTGACTGGGCCTGCTCAGATACCCTGCGTACTTTTGTAAGCTCTTGAGAGCTTTCTCCACAACCACCCTCGCTCTTAGTGTTGCTACCTAACATGTTTCCCATCTTTTAATATGTTACTCACCGCGTGAGGCCCAAGGAATCCGCCACTTACGCGTGAGCCTGAGGGGAGTCTAAAAGCCCTGTAGGTGCGCGCCACCCAGAGCCCAGGCTTATCCCCAACTCACCTGTCTCGCAGCTCTGTACTGGAGCATTGTCCACTTCCACGTCTCGGGGGTGATCAGTCCCCGGGCGGGCCTCCAAATGTCGATGTCCGCTCCCGGCCGGCAGGAAGGACACACGACACAGTCTGGTAGTGGACAACCTTTTCTTTTTATTTTCCTTCTCCGTACAGCCTGCCCTGGGTTCTCCCAGCTGAAGCCTCCTCTGGTCTGCTCCCCGCGGCTCCTTTTGTGCTTTAGTCTGCCCCAAAGCCTCTACCGGTCCGCTCTCCGCGGCTCCTTTTGGGCTTTTACTTCTGGGCTTTTACCTGGCTTCTTCTTCCGCCCAGGGGTGGCACCAGTATATATACGGGTACAGTGTCCAATCATGTTAAAGTAAGCAAGGCAAGCTGATTGGCTAACATCATCAGTTGCCAGGCAGACTATATTGTTGAGCGGGTTGTTTACGCGGTAAGCAGGAAACTAACATATTCGATGGGAGGGGTAATCTACCTCAGGCTTTGCTCTTTACCACAGGCCGCACGTCCGCCGCGCAAGGCGAGCTATCACAGACGCGGCTCCCAACAGTTTTACGTTTGCATCTTTCTTTTCTAGCTTTTTCTTCTCTGAACCTCCTTCCTTCTTTGAGATATCCCAGCCCTTTAGTCATAGCCGGAGCAGCAGCCCCACGGAAGATGCTTCCCTCTTCCAGGCTTTGGGAAGTGTGAGTACCACCCCGCAGCTAAGCACTGTACCCCGAGAAGCAGAGGGAGACCTGGCCAGCAGTTCTATGTGTTCATCACTGTTAAGCCCAGCTTCAGAGGTGGACAACCGCAAAGTCTGCAGGAGAGAAACAGAAAGACGACCTTCACAAAGTCACACTTGATTTGCACAATGTCATAAGAAAAATCCTCTATTCTTGAAATCTCCATCCTTTCCAGTATCATTCCATGGGCCTGGTGCACCCACCTTATGAGAGAGAGCCTTGGTCCCTATGAGATCATCCTGCGGGCAAGCATGGAATCATCTCCCCAGCTTCCCCCAGATGAAGTGTTTTTGGAGACTCCCAGGAAAAGACAGACACCCACCCCAGCTGTGTTCTCAGACAAAAGCTCAGGATGAATAGAGCATCTGGGTTCCCAGGGAGCCCTAGTCCAATACCTGTGGGACAGGTGATTAACACCCAATGAAACCACATGCTCACCTGAAATTATTTCCCTGGCTCCCAAAAACACAGATGAAATGTATAGCATTAGAGACAGAAGTCATCCTACATAGGTTCTCTGTCCTGCAAGGTAGAGGCTATAAGTCAACCAAGGGCCCTCTTCATACTAAAATATCTCATACCTGGGGACAGTGGAAGGAGAGTGATACTGTCAGAGACACAGATGGAAATGTACTCCTTCTCTGATGCACAGAAGGCAGTGGAGTCTTGGTTCTGAGTAACCAGAGTAACCAGAGCGTAATTAGGTGCAGAGTGTAGAAGTTGCTGCTGGGTGCTGGAGCAGAGGGACAGGCTTCCTGTGACCTGCCACCCAGTTAATCACTGGGTAATCTCTAGCTTATTAAAATTAGAATAAAAGAGGGTTTTCTTGACACCAGGCAGGGATAAAAGCACTCTTTTCTCATCTGTCTGCAAAGCTGCATTGATGTGCCAGGACTGAACTACAAGCCGTCTGCCTAGCCAGCCACTAGGACAGCCCTAATAGGATCTGGGATTAGAAAAAAGCAGCCCAGGAGGCCTAAATAACATTCCACGAACTTCACTGGAAGCCTTGCATGGCTGCACACATCTTCACACACTCAAGGAGGGCCTAGCCCAGTTGTCTGCAAACTACCACAGTGAACAAAAGATGGGAGGTGCTTCCCAGTTCATTTTCTGAGGCTACCACTGTCTGGAGAGAGTGTAACTTCATGGCAGCCTAACTGCATTCGACAGTATGCACAAAGTCCACCCACAGAAAATCAGCAAAACATGATACATCACATGGAATATACATGGGTTACTCCATGAAAGGACCCCAGTTCATGTTCCTGGGGAGTCTGGGAACCATGGAGAGAGAAAGGAAGTGGTACCAAGGGATCTAGCATGGGGTTTCACCCTACTAGAAGCTGTGCTGGGTAAATGCAGACGTGACTTTTTAACGACCAGCCAAAGGAGAGGCTGGAGTGTCTAAACAGGTGACCACTCATCCTGGTCGGGTTAGGAAGCTCCCACAAATTAGAAGGACGTGGCCTGGTGGTGTCTGTAGGTGACGGGTGCCTGGCCTTGGGTGCAGTACTTGATGCTCACTGCTTCCTCTTCCTGTTTTCCTGCTGTGTCCTGGGCTTTATGATCTTTTATCCCGTTCTGCTACATCCTTCTGCCAGGATGTCTGTTCTTCAATTATGGGCTTAACCCATGAGCAAATGGAGTCTCCCTCCTCTCAGCTATGTATCAGTGACCAGAAAGCCAAAGGACCAGACGCCTGGTGCAGCTTCCAGGGCATCTCCAGGAAGAAAACAGCAGAAGCAGAAGCCAGAAGTGTGTATGAATGCACCGCAGCACTGAAGTGGAGACGGTGGGACAGTCCCGCCTGATAGCCCCAAGTGCCTGCAGACTGCTGCTGACTCAGCCTCACAAGATGGAACCTGGAGCTTTTTAGGACAATATTTTCCCACCTCAGTGAAAACAGATCACTTCGAGGAGCAGGCACCATGCAGTACTGCATTTTCAAGGGTAAGCTCATGAAGAGTAAAATTAGATCAGAAATTTTTATACAAGTATCTTGAGACCTCACTAAGAATTGCAGCTGCTTCTGTGGAACCAGATGTTGAAGCATGAATCTTACAAATTGAGGTCAAACATCCTAATAGTGTTGTTATGTTTATATTATCCTCTTTTATTATAATAAAAATATTTTAAAGGGTTTTTTACTTATATACTTGAACCCCATTGTATGCTTCATAGATAGCTGAAACCAATTCATCTTCACTCAGTATATCCCAGGAAAGACAGAAAGTTGGACACCCACGTGAGATGCCATTCACAGAAGAAAAATCACACCTGTATCCCAGAGGAGGAAAGACAGGCATCACTGTATTTTGAAAGCTGTAGTACTCTTGAAAAGGAGATTGAAGAGGATTTCAGAAAATGGAAAGATGTCCCTTGCTTTTGGTTAGGGAGAATCAACATTGTGAAAATGGCCTTATTCTCAAAACTGTTATACAGATTTAATGCAATCTCAATCAAAAAATCTTTAACTTATCTTACAGATCTAGAAAAAAAAATCCCATTTGGAAATAGAAGAGACCTAGAGTAGCAAAAAAATCCTCGGCAACTAAAGCAAGGCAGAAGGCCTCTCAATCCCTGACTTGAAATTATACTACAAAGCTACAGTGATAAAATCAGCAAAGTATTGGAAAAGCAAAACAAAACAATAAAAACAGACCTAAGAATCAATGAAACAGGTTAGAAAATGCAAACACAACTACAAAGACACTCAGTCATCTGATATTTGACAAAGGGGCTAAACAGGTTCACTGGAAGAAAGCCTCTTTAATAAATGTTGCTGGAAAAATTGGCTTTCCACGTGCCAAAGATTGAAACTAGCGCCATGTCTATCACCATACAGTAAACTCAAAATGGATCAAAGATCTAAATATTAAAATAGAAACACTAAATCTGCTGGAAAACAAGGTAGTAGAAATCTTGACGACATAAGGGTAGGCAAAAGGTTCATGAACAAAATACAAACTACTTGGGAAGTATTTCAAAAAATCAACAACTGGGATCTCATCTTATTAAAAAGTTTTTGCACTTTAAAAGAAATTACCAACAGAGTGAAAAGAAAACCTACAGAATGGAAAGAATTTTAGCCAGCTATCCCTCAGACAAAACATTTATGTCTAGAATATATAAAGAACTGAAAAATGTCAGACCCCCGAAATTCAAAGACTCAGTACAAAAATAGGTGTCTGAGAGGAAAATGCACTTCTCAGATGAAGAAATACAAAAATACAAATAGCAAATAAATACAGGAAGACACACTCAATGTCACTGGGCATTCAAGTATTGCTCATTTCTAAAAGTTACTTCCTAGAATCTGGCACAAAATACATGAAAATAAATATTCTGTTGTTATTCTATAACAAGATAATTTCATGCAATAGTCCATACTTCCATTTTGGGATTGTCAATATAAAATTCATCTTTGGTTATGGTGGATAAACTCAAAAGTGAGAAAACACAACATAAATGCTTTAAAAGATTGTTTAGCACAATAGTGAAGAAGAAAGTTTGAGAACTGACAGGACCCAACTTAAAAACTTACTATAGAGCTGTGGTCACAAGGCAGTGTGGTATTTTCAAGGTAAATAGAACAGTGGAGTAGAAGTAAGAATACAAAATAGACCCACACAATTACACTCAACTGACCTTTGATGAAGAAACAGAGGCAATTCCTGGAGAAAGGGTTGTCCTTGTATAAAAGATTCTGCAACAACAGGACATCATCTTGGGAGAAAAATGAGTATAGACATTAACATCCTCCACAAAAATCAGCTCAATCAACTCAGTCGGATAGGACAGGAAAGCAGAAAACTACAAAAAGAACTAGGAAAAAATAGAAGAGAAAATCCAGGAGGCAGACCATTAGATATAATACCAAAGTATATTCCATGAAAGGAAAAACTGAGTGATTCAGGCTTCACTGACCTCAAAAACTCCTCTTTACTGAGAAGACACTTTTTAAAAACATACAGACAAGCCCTGAGAGAAATATGCTCACAGTATATATTTGATAAAGAAGTTGTGCATAAAATATACAACAGAAAAAAATAGTAATTTTTTTAAAGTTTAAAAACAAGCTAGAGATCTGATCAGTCACTCCACCAAAAATGCACCAATGGCCGTGGCAGCTAAGCAGACTACCATTCAGGGAATTCCAGATTAAACCACCACATACCTGTGAGGACCAGGGAATCCAAAGCAGTGACAATCCCCAGTGCTGGGGAGGGTGCAGAGTGGAGAAACACTCACTGCTGATGTGAAGGCAGCAGTCTGACAACTGCTTCCAAAACTAAACATACTCTTAGTACCCAATCCAACAATAGCACTCCTTAGAATTCACCCAGCTGGATTGAAAACTCCATCCACACAAAACTTTGCACAAAGATATGCATAATTGTGAGGACCCAGAACAACCAAATTATCCCTCATTCCATGACTAGATAAATACACTATGGTGCATTCCAACAATAGAATATTATATAACACTAAGCAGAAATATGCTAGCAAACCACAGAAAGCCAAGTGCATATTGTTAAATGAAATAGATCAGTCTAAAAAGACCACACACTGTCTAATTCCAGCTCCATGACTTTGGAGACAATGAAAAGATTGGTGTTTACTAAGGTCGGGGAGAGAGGGGTAAGTAAGGGATGAGACAAGAGATCTTAATGTAGAGAAACTATTGTGTGCCTCCTTAGTGGTAGACACAGGTTGCTATATCTTTGTCAAATTCATAGCATGTGTGGCACCAAGGAGGAGCCCCAGTGTGAAGCATGAGCTTGGGGTGCTTCTAAAGGCCAAAACGGGTTGTTTGCTCACTGCAAGTGTGCCACCTTGTGGGGAGTGATGCAGCTAGTGGCAGTATTGTGCATGTGCAGCTGCAGTGGTGTTAGAAACTCTGCTCAACTTTGCTGTGAATCTAAAACTTCTTTAAAAAGTAAAAGTTAGCCAGGCATGATAGTAAGCCAGTGTCTGTAATCCCAGCCTTCTAGGAGGCTGCCCGGCAGGAGCACATATTAAAGCCCAAGTCGGGTAAAATTAGCGCCTTAGTGAGATCCTGTCTCAAAATAAAAGTAAAGAGCAGAGAGCGACTCCAAAATGTAAAGAGGAGCTCAGGGCATTCGGCCCCAGGTTTGCACACACACATGAGTGCTCAGCACCCTGACCACTAGGTCACAGCTTGTAGGTGACAACATCCAGGCCGGCCAGCCCCTGCTGTGTTCCCCTGTGTCAAGGGGGCAGAGACATCATCACCTGGACCAGAGGTCTAGGTCCAGCTTGGAGCCATAGCACCTGCCTAGCATGTGGAGGCCCTGAGTTCCATCTCCAATACTGGAGACAGGGCCAGGGAGAGACAAAGAGAAAGAGGGAGGAAGGAAGAAAGTGAAGATGGAAGGAATGGAGGGGAAAAAAAGGAAGGGAAGAGTGATGGAAGGAAAGAAAGAGGGAAAGAAGGAAAGGAAGGGAAGAGTGATGGAAGGAAGGAGAGAGGAAGGGAAGAAGGAAAGGAGGGCAGAAGGAAAACCAGCCAGTGCTGGCGCCCGAGCCACCTGGGAGTCGCAGCTTTCCAGCTATGTGATCAGCTCTCCTGTCAGTGAACTAACCAGCTGGCATGAGGATACCAGATCCTGCTTCTGTCCGTCAATCCAGACATCCACGAAGAAGCTTCTCTTGCTCAGTCTTGACTGGAAACGGGAATCCTCAAGCCTGAGGGTGGCCTCAGAAGCAGAGCCCAGCCCACAGGGCCTGACAGCAGCAGGAGGTCCTGACAGATTTCTTAGCTAAGGTGCTGAAAACAGGGAAACGCCTGCATAAGTGCATTGGAAGGAAGGGACCACAAAATAGTAGGACTTGATAAGGTGTTCATGTGTGTCTCAGAAACTGACTGGAACATGTGCCACCAGTATTTTTTTGAATAGGAGTAACAATACTTAGCCTTAAAATGCTTCCAACCACCTCCTACGGTCCACCCCAAAGACAAAACCATGCCAAATGTGGAAAGTAGTTCACAGCACAGTTCAGTAGATACATAATGAAGGCATTGTCTTGATGTATAAAAGAACTGTGTTTATAACATTGTTGTGGAAATCAGACGGAACATAGGAAGAAAGGGCATGGAGGAGGTTTAAGAGGAAGTTTATTCCACCAGTGGGCTTGACTGAAGTCTCTCCCAAAGAGTCAGCCCCACCCTGTGGTCTTTGGGGGCTTTTATGGGGAGAGCAGTGGGGATATACAAGGGTAGATTTGTGTCCGTGTGATTGGAGGGTTGGGTGACATCTTGGGTTGCTAAGAGTGTTTAAGCATTGTAAGTCACATTGCAAGGCCATCAGCTATACAAAGCATGGGTTTTACAGAGGAAGAAATGTCCTGCTGCATTTTAAGTTACGTTACAAAGCCATCAGTTATAGAAAGGCAATAAACACAGGGGTTTCACAAAGGGGCATTTCAAGTTACACTTTAAGGCCATCTGTTAGACAAGCTTGCACAAAGGAAGGAATGTCCTGTTATCAAGCTTCTCCGGACACAGAGGTGTCTGCCTGGTCTTGCTGGGCTTCCTTGGCAGGCTGACTTGAAGGCTTTATTTAAAATTTTTGATGGGTTCTGCCTGTGTGAAGCTCTGCCAGGCTCAGCATGGCACCTGCCCAAATTGGACAGCATATCCCTCCAACATTAACTTCTGTGTTGTTCTTCCAAGCTGAAACGGAACTTCTCACTTTCCACGTGTACCAGCATCCCCCAATCAGCTCTCAACACGTCACTCTGCCCGCTTCTTCAAACCCTACCCCCTGTCAAACCCAATAAAACCCCGCAGCTTCTTTGTCTGCCTTGGAGGGAGCTTGTGCTCTTCTCCAGCCCTCCCATGACCACAATAAAGGCCGTTTTTCCTTTTTTTTCTTTTTCTGCTTTTGCTTCTCTACCACATCAAGGAAACACCTAACAATTTTAACTTCTCTTTCAACGTTAAAGAAATTTGGAATGCAAACTGTAATTGGAATGTAAAATATTGCGTGAAAAACACACTGACAGCTAATGATAAGTATTCACAGTGTATCAGGCACGTGTCTAAGACATTTTAGATTAACTTTCTTCAATCTCTTAAACACATGGAGTAAACACTACATTTTCCTATTTCTGAACGGAGAAACTTTAGATTCTAAATCTTTAAGCAAATTGTTGATTACTCAGTCACAGAGAGCTGTGTGGCAGAATCAGAATGTGGAATGTGTCACTCTGTCTTAAGATCTGTCACTTAAAATGGCTGTCATGGTTAGTTTTTCCCATTTCTGAGATAAAATACCCAACACCCGAAGTTAAGGAAAGAAAGGTTTATTTAGCTCACAGGTTGTGGAAGTTTCAGTCTGTACTCAACTGGCTCCAACACAGGACAGCGTGGCAGAGGGGCCCCAGAGCAAAAGCAGCAAGAGCAAGAAGTGGGAGAGAGCAAGCCTCTTTTCCTCCCTTATGTTGTAAACAGGCTGCCACCCCAGCCAGGGTGAGTGCAGCACTCACACCACCTCCCGACCCTCCTTTTGCACAGGCTGCAAATGTTTACAGAGGGAGGACCCTGGCCCCCTGCTGAGACTTTTCATTACACTTCTAAACTTCTCAAGTTGACACAGTGTATCAGCCATTATAAGGACTGTGCTATATTAACAACACCCACATACATACATGTGTGCAGATATGCAAGCTTAAAGATTCCTCACTTACAAAAAATATACTAGATTAACAACACACACGTACTCAGGTGTGTGTGGATACACAGACGTAAATGAAGATCCCTTGCTTACAATGACCATACTAGATTATTGGCACACATGCACAGATGTGTGTGGAGATGCATGTATAAATGCTGGAAATCTATACATTCAATATTAGCGATCATGTTATTAAGCCTGGGACTCAAGAATGTGGAAAATCCTTCTTTATAACTTAGTAATGTTTACTCATAAAACTTCTGCTGTTTCTAAGATATAAATGCTAAGTCTTTTATCTGAAGTCCCACCATGCATCCACACAGACAGAGGATGAGGGGGTGGAGTCAGTGTGAGAATCTGGCCCTTAACTGAGCAACCATGCAGGAGCGGCTTCTCCCTCCGTGGGAGCCCTGTGCCGGCTCTGGGAGGCACTGTGGCCACGTCGTCCCACGGCCGGTAGTTCTCCTTCCATTCCTTTTATTCAGCACTTCTTTATTCCTTTAGTGTCGTATTTTTAACTGTCTAAAATACATCTGTTATACAGTCTTTGAATATCAACGGAAAGAAAGTAGAGACAGCAATGATGTTCAGCTCCATGGAGCACACAGAGAAGCCGGCTGGCGAGGAAGTGGAGGAAGTGGCCGAGGCAGTGTTTGTGGACCGTGTGGGTCGAGGGTTCCAGGCAGCTCCCCGTCAGGTGGGCCTGGCAGCGGCACCGGCTCAGGCAGTGCAGCCGCAACCCTGGACCCGGGCCAGGGATCCAGGTCTGATGCCCTCCTCCATGAACAGAGATGACAGTAGCACAGAGCTGTACAGTTGCTGTGAAGATTAATGAAAGTCACATCCTAGGCATAGGCAAGGACTTCCTGAACAGAGCCTAACGGTGCAAGAAATAATAACAAGAATCAGCAAATGGGATCACAGTAAATAAAAAACTTCTATACTGCAAAGGAAACAACCAACAGACTGAAGAGACAACCTGCAAAAGGCAAAGAAAGTCTGCCACCTATTTCTGAGACTAGAGGACTAGATAGAGTCCTGTATAGAGAGAAACTGTATAGAGAGAACCAAAACAATTAGACCTCTCAAAATAAAAGGCCCAATCAAAAGTAGGTACCTGGGGCAAATAGGCACTTCTCAGCAGAAGGAATACAAATAGCCACTGAGTACGTGAAGGAAGTGCTCAACACTGCTGTTCATTACAGAAATGAAATTAAAACAACAGTGAAATGCCATCTCATTCCAGAAAAAAATGGCTATTTTCAAGAACTCAAAACCTCACAAGTGCTGGTGAGGTCATAGGGGAATAGAACCCTTATACCTCATTGGTGAGCATATAATCTAGTACAACCACTGTAGAAATCCACATGGAGAATCTCAAAAGGCTAAAACTGGAAATTCCCTGTGACCCAGCCTCACTCTCTTGGGTCAGTTCCCAGAAGAAGTAAACAGATTCTCCTACAGTGATACAGCATGCCATGTTTGTTTCAGGGCAGCTCAGGAAAGCTACATCGTGGACGTGGACTGCACACCCATCCATGGGCGACTGAACAAGGAAATTGAGGCACAGATGCACAGTGGTGCCCCATTCAGCTGCAGGAAAGGTAATTCTGGTTCATCGGTAGGAATGTAGAAGGAACATGACAACGTGATGCGAAGTGAAAGGAATCAGTCACCAAACGCTACGCAGCATGTGGCTTCTCTAACACGTGAGACTCAGATATCAGCAGTGGACAGCACAGGCAGGGAGGCAGACCTGTGGGGGTCTGAGGAGGGAGGAGGCAGGGCTAGAGGAGGAGTAAGAGGCCGGGGTGCTATGTGGGATGCATCAGCCCCACGCTGAGCGGAATCCCACGCATTACTGCCAATGTGTACAAGTGAAAATCTAAGGAGCACAACGTCACTGAAACGAAATGTGAGGCTTGTATGGAGTTCTTCAAAGGAGAGGAGCTTGTCGTTTAGTGGGTGCTCAGGTGAAGACCACTGCTGAGGACATACAACGCAGGCCGTGAGAGAGGGCAGAGCCCAGCCATGGCGATGATGGGAAGGGGCTGGGGAGGGAGGGGAAGGGAGGCTGCCTCAGGTGGAAATGAGAGCTGGAGACCACAGCCTTTCCCCTTCAGCCTCTGGGACTGTCAGAACAACAGACTCTCAGATCAGGTGTGGCGAGGCACCCGCCAGCCATCCCAGCACTCGGTCACAAGTTCAAGCCCAGCTTGAGTGACAAAGCAAGATCTGTCTCCAAAGAAGAAGTAAAAGAGGGGCAGGGATGCAACCAAGCCTGAAGGCCCTGGGTTCAAAGCCTACCATAAAAAAAGAAAAGAAAAAGGAAGGGAAGGGGAGGGGAGGGGAGGGGAGGGGAGGGGAGGAGAGGGGAGGGGAGGGGAGGGGAGGGAAGGGGGGAAGGGAAGGAGCGGGAGGGGAAGGGAAGGGGTGGGAGGGAAGGGGGGAAGGGAAGGAGCGGGAGGGGAAGGGAAGGGGTGGGAGGGGAAGGGAAGGGAGGGGAGGGGAGGGAAAGGGAGCACAGGCAGTGCACGAAACAGGAAAGGAAAGGAGAGGAGAGGAAAGGAAAGGAAAGGGGATAGAAGGGGAGGGGAAGGCAGGGGGTGGGAGGGGAGGGGAGGGGAGGGGAGGAGAGAAGAGGGAAGGGAAGGGAAGACAGAGCACAGGCAGTGCAGGCAGAGCGCCTGCTGCTCCTCGTGCCTTGTCCTGACTCCAGGCACAGCCTGCACCATGCCCCAGTCCTCCTCTGTCTCCCTCCTCCCTGGGCTGAGCTCAGGAGCGCCATCTGCCTTCATGAAAGGTTCTGCACCATATTTGGCCTGTGGAAGCCTGTGACCCACCTCTGATTTTCCCCTAGGCCAAGCTCATCTCTAGAAGAAAAAGAAATCTGAAGATAAGTTATGACCTAAAATCTTGATTCTGTTTTATTTCTTTGGCAAATTGCTCTGAGCAGACCCTGACAAAAATAACTCCTGCTCTTTCCAGACGGATGGCTCGCCATGGTAAGGGCACAGCAAGCCTCCCTAAATTGTGCTGTCAAATGGAAATTAGCGATTGACCCGTGGATCTCTTCTTAATAAGAGCATCTCTGTTGTATTGATTTATAGGGAGCATTATTTCCTTTTGCAATATGAGAAGTGATAATTTTTCCTTGGAGGCACCTTATGCTTTTAAGAGTTCCTGTAACGAATGGAATTTTAACAAGGCAGAAGCGATTGTATGTGATTGGAGACTGTTTGTTCTGCACGGGAGATTTGTTTAATTGAACGCACTCCCAAAGATGCCAGTGTGGCTAATACACATGAACACCAACACCCACCTTCCGAGAATCGGAGCAGAGAAACAACACCAGGCAGCGGAAGCAGGGTGATTTCGATCCTGCCCAGAGAGAGTACAGCTGATTTTATTTTGGGGTCTCTTCAAAGACCCCCACATCTTAAGGCTTTACAGAGTAGAACCTCGCTCTTGTCTGATGAGCTTTCAAAGATGGAGGAGCTCTACATGGCCCTTGGTGGGCATCAGGGTCCTAGAGCTGTCAAGCTGGGGGTGCTGCTCTCCCACCGTGAGCCCCCCTTTTCACCCTCTCCTGATTGTCTTTCAAAATGGATGCAGGTCTGTTTTTGCTCAGGCAGGTGCCCTATTAACCTCAGACTTTCAAAGGAGACCTTCAGCTCTACCCGAGTCACTCTCTGCTCCAACCTGCAGATGGGAGCCTCTGGAAAGCACCCCCAGTCCCCTGAAGGGTACTCAGGGCACCCAGTCAACCATGCTGCCTGCTGGCCTGGCCTCACCCAATGCTGTGCTGAGCTTACCCACAACAGGGAAGGTACTGTGTGCCCTGGAAGATAACTCTTCATCTTTAAGTCAGAGGCCATGAGGTCCCTGGTCAGGTCCCTGCCCCAGAGAATTTTTACGCCCATTCCACCTCCTGTTAGCAGGGCAGCACAGACACTCATGAGCAACAGTAAGAGAAAACAGAGAGGCAAGGGGCTGGAATGGGGCTTATGCAAATGGCGCTGTCAAGGGTGATTCCAAGTGCACACTGTGATTGCTCCTGAAAGTCCTCCTCGGTGCTCACAAAAAATTAGTTGTGCAAATTCGGAAAATTTAGTCTACCTTTAGCTTGTGGACATGGAATTACATAATTGAAAGGTTTCCCTTTTTGCTTATCTGCTAGAAAGTTTTTGGTGACCCAGATCACTGAACTTTGCCTCATTTCTGGTACAATTTTATGACTATCTTTGGTTTACTATCCTCTTTGTCACTTTCACCATTAATATTGCTTATCTTGGATTTCAGCTCCTTTTGTAGGCTTCCACAAATCTTTTATGGAAATAGACAAAGCATATGTAAGCAAAGGCCAGGGCTAGGCGACTGTCCCAGAGGAGACAGCACCACCCACTGAAGAGTGGCCACAGGTTAGAGGTCCACGCTTTCCCAACAGTCCACATAGAAACCACTGTCTACATCTCCCGATGCCATTTATAGTCTTACTAAGCAAAACAACAAAACGAAATTGTATAAAGGAAAAATACAAGGATAATCCGCTGACCAAAAATTCCTTAGTTGTAAAATAAAAGAATATAAAAATAATGGAGAATTCCTAAAATAAATGGATAAAGGGGAGACACTATTAGAGGAAACAAAAATGACATGTTTTTCACCATCTCAATTTATGTAAATAATGATAACCTCTGTTTAAATGACTACTCATGAGTAATTCCCTAGAGATACTCACTTCTGTTTTTTTCCAAGTGATTCTACAATAGCAATAGTAATATCAGGAGTAATAACCAGTATCACAATATTGACTGCATCTTATAAATCTGTAAGACCAAATTATGAAGTCAGAAACTCGGACTGGTTAAGTCTTTCGTTTTCTCTTCTAAAACTGTTTAACTGATTTAACATCTAAGTGTGTATGGTGAAGGGGAACGAGGGATCACATTCCTGCCCACACAGCACATCTGACAGGCTCAAGGCACACACTGCTTTAATGCCTTTACATTAACCATGTGGATCTACAGTTAAGAAGTAATATATCACACAGTTTGTCAGGAAAATAGATCACATGGTAATTGTTTTTCCACAATTTTCTTTTTAAAAATCAGGATTACTTTTCAGCGCATGTAAGAATTTATTTCCAGAAATAACTCAGCTCAAATGCTTCTCTAAAGCTCTCGTTGAAGATTGATCCTTGGGCTGACTTCTGGCAGTGCCCTGCACTGAGTTTTTGACTTGAAGTGTGGGAGATGGCATGGAGTTGGGGTGAGGTTGCCTCTAGACACGAAGAGACGCACACAAGTACAGACATGAAATGATGGGATACAGAGAAGGGTGGTTCGTTTACTGTGGCACCAGAGCTGTGGGGGTGGAATCTCAGAGGACAGACAGGGCCAAATATACCGACAGCAACACTTTTGTAAGCTATGGCGAGTGTTATAAACTTTATGGGCAGTAGAGTAATGAAAGCCATTTCCTCAATTAATTGGCATTATCGAAATGTTTTTAGAATACTAAGGGATGGATGGGAGGAGGAGTGTTTAGAAAGGAAAACACCCAGCTTGGAAAGGTGGGGAGGGGATAGATAGAGGGAGAGTAACATGCACCTCACACAGCTGGGGATCCCCAACAGCAGGGCCAGTATCATCCTCAGAAAACTCTCCTGTATTTTACTAACAACCAAAAGAGAGAAGCCCAGAGGCTTTGCATAGCAATTAGGAAAGGGAGCCATTAATTATCCTGAATTTATTAATCCATATTACACATATATTGTTGAAATATTACAGCATAAATGTATATAATTGCTACACTTGTTAATTTTTATGAAGATTTAAGAATATGGAAATGTGAACTGTCTTGATTTGATCATTACACACTGTATACACACAAGCTGAATGATCATATTGTGGCCCATAAATATGTACAACTAAATTAATAATTAACAAAAACTATTGTTTAAAAAAGTAAAAGGACAAATCTGAAGTACCAGGCTTTAGGAATTTTTCAGGAGCAGGAAGAGCTGTGATGAACACTGCTGGGAGTCAGTGGGAATGGATTACAGGGCCACTCCAGATGTGTGGTCAGTAGCCAGTGAATAGTTATATTAATAGTAATAATCCCTACCTGCTGTGAGGTGAGCAGCTGTTATAGTCAGAGTTTGCAAAGGAATGGAAATGATGTAAGACATACATTTATAGTTTTATCTTACAAAAAGTCAAATACAGAAGAGTGCAAGAGATCTGTCCCTGCGCTAGATACCTAAGAATCCAGCAGCTGCATGAGTCCAGCTGGAGGCCTAGAGCTCACAGCAATGTCTCATCCAAGTCCATCAAGGATCTGCCCTGGGAAAGCCCAAGGGCCAGTGGTGGAAGCTGGACCATCTGCACCGGTGGGGTGAAGGATCTGTGCCAGCGGGCGAGGGATCTGCACTGGAGCCAGGATACAATGCTCAAGACAGAGGCAAGCATCAGAGTTCCCTCAAAGAGAACAGCAGTCTGGCCACAGGGAGGACCCACACTCCTCCTCAGAAGCGAACAGCTGGGTTCCTGTCAGGAAAACCAGCCAAGCCAAGCTTGTTCTGGGGAATTATCAGTGTGCAGTGCTCCCCTCTGGTCCTCCTTTTATGCTGCTGACAATAGTCCTCAGGTGGGTCTTTTACCTTAGCACCAGGCTGACCCAGTTCCACTGGCCACCAGTTAACCTGCCTCGATGGCCCTCCATGATGCTGCTGCCTTGCAATGGGCCCGGAACCACAGAGTCACCAAACCAGGCAGACACCACTGCAACCTGCACTATGGCCAGGTCAACTGCTTCAAATTCTTCCTTAAAATCTGCCTGGCTGCTCACAGCCTTTTTGAAATAAGATTCGGCATCTAAAAGTTTCTTTCTTCATTTTCCAGTATGAGAGACTCAGCTTCTGAGCTGGATCTGTGTTTGGCTTCCCCCTCCTGCAGTGGTAGGGGCTTCCCCACACCCTACTGTGGACCTGGCTCTGCAGGCTCTGAGAGCCGTTGCAGGGACCCCACTTACCACGCAAGTCCTCACACTCCCCTGTCCAGCCTTCTGTGCTGGTTTGGGAGCTGTTTCTCCTTGCAAACTCAGACCTAGAGATCAGAATGGAGTCACCATTCCTCACTTGGGGGAGCTGTCACCTCCTTTCTGCTCTTCCTACTTTCTGGCCACATCTGTGTAAAGAGCCCCTTGATTAAACTGTTATCAAATTGCTCATCGAGTGTAACATCTGTTTCCTGCTGGGATGTTGACCGATGGAGAAACTGGGACTGGAAATAGCCCTCGGAAACAGCCCCCCACACACACACATATGGCTCTGGGAGCAGGTCCGTTCCTTACACAGAAGAGATACAAGGCTCGATCCTTCAGCTCAATGCTGAAAATCATCAGTTGGAACCAAGCAGAGTGAAAGGGCGTGGAGGGCAGTGTTTGGAGAGTAGGTTCACAGTCACACTGGGTCCCCACAGTAATCCTGTGGTCTTTGCATGGTGGACCAAGCTGGACGACAGATGCGTGGACCCACCTTATCATTATGGGGACTTGGTGCAGCAGCAAACCCACTTGCTGCTCTCCACAAATCGGAGCATTTCTCCAAGGCCTGGAAAACATGACCACAGGTCAGCAGTCGGTTTCTGAGACTATTTCCAGTGGGGGCAGAGCTATGTGGCATAGTAGGAAGAGGCAAGTGCAGGCCCCTAGCTTGTCACCGAGGGAGGAACCAAAGCCAATCCCATCTCTGAAGGGAGTCTGGGAGACAAATGCCCTCAGGAGCATGTGAAAGATGCCTGGTCACCTATCACAGGCTCACTCACTCACCTGCGTGTCCAATACAAAGCAGGACAGTCATGATATCCGCTCACCAGGGGCACTCTGGCTGCCCACAGCTGAGCAGCCTGTGATATAGTGTCATTCACAGAGTGGCTAATCTGCCGCCCATAGGAAGCCATCACCTTGGATCCTTTCCATCATGGAAGAATGAGCATCTTGTCCTCAGAGGAACAAAAATGTTCTCTTGGTCTTTTCTTCGTTCTCTTCTGCCTATGCTGTGATTCTTCAGTTTGGAGAGCTTCTTGTCCACCATCATGTAACCCTGCTGTTAAAGGAAGTCAGCTCACTGTGAACGACGTGCTGCCAGGCAATTCATTGTTCCTGCCTCCTGCTCCTCATCCGAGAAGCCAAAGCTCAGGTGTTGGGCTGGTTAAGAGAGTATTCGACCAAGCCAGGCACTACGCCATAGGACCCAGCATACTCCTCCAGTAATACATGCCATCACCTAACTTTCAGTCAGGTCAAAGATCTGGGCATGGGGAGAAAGTGATCGTGGTGCCTAGTAAACCCCTTGGCAAATGCTTGCTTCCAGTCTCCACTGCTTCACCCTCATTGGATGTAGCAGTCTGTGCCCAGATGTGGGATCTTTTTCCCTGGAAACACAGCCTGATTCCACGATGTGCAAGCTGAGACTCTTCCTTGATCATTTTGTACTCTTTGTGTAACCAACAGAGAGGCAAAGAGACAATGCTATGGCCAGGTGTGATGGGCCTGCTATTGGGTTCCCACTACACTGTGAGGGACAGAGCGCCCACGCTTGAGGACATCAATCATTCCATGAAGTCGGAGCCTCCACGATCCACGCCCTTCTGCCTGAATGAATGTGTGGAGCTCCCTGCTAGGCAAAGGACCAACTAGAAAAGGTGCCAGTGAGTGTCAGTAGAACAAAGATGAGCCCCAATGGAGCCCATGACGAGCCCGGCTCTCACGTCTCGGCTCACATCTCTGTTTATTCCTCTTATTCCTGCCACCTTCTGTATGGCTGCCAGTTGTGGCTGACATTTCAGGCTTCAGCTGGGTGAGGGTCTGCATCCCCGTGATGAAATGACTGGGAGTACTTCCTGTTCCTCGTGTAAGGACCGGGGCTTCTTCCCAGGTGATGAGCCAGCTTCCACTGCAGACCACAGGGGCTGTGTGTCCACAGAGGCTGAGCACTGTCAGCTGAGCCTATGACCTCTAGCTCAGGTTCAGTTCAGACCACAGGAAGCACAAACAGTAACTCAGAAGAAGGGTGGGGGAGTGGGGAGCGGGGTGGGCCACTGATTCCCCCCTGTTCTTCCCCAGGGTTGCAGGGACCAGTATGTCCACCAGAGGTGGCGGCCACTGGCCGCCCACCTGGCTCACTCTCTCCGACTCTCATCAGCCACTCTCTCCCTCTGCTTGCTCCTGGGGTAAGAAGCCTCTGGCCCTGTACCATCCCACACTCTGCCGCAGTTTGGAACAAGTGTCTTTATTAAGCTCTCCTCAAACCGCCCAATTTGAGCGCGCCATCTGCTTTTGCCAAGACCCTGACTGATACAGCTCCTCTTTTAATGAGAATTTTCTTTCCATGCTTTTGCAATCTAAAAAGATATAGGAATGTTTAATTAAAAGAAAACTTTCCAAAAAGAAAAAAAGAACTCATTTTGATTTTGTTTTTTCATATTCGTGGATGATGAAATTCTAAAGAGCCTGATTTTGGATTGCAGCCTGTCAAATTACACTGTAAATAGCTTTGATTTGGAATTGTATGTCCCAGAATCAAGGTTATTCGCAAATTTATTTTGCCAAAATCAGAACCCAGGTTTGAGAGCCCCGATCCCCTTATTTATGGGAAATATTTTAACAAACTGAGCATAATTGTAGAAGGAAAGTATAGAAACATTCTTCTTGCCTGTGTATATCTAATTTGCAAACTGCAAACAATATTTAAGCCATTCATTTGAGCTCATTTTCTCAGCTGTTGTGCTTTCTTCAATCAGAACTATAGTTCTCTGGGCATGCTGCTGCCCAGCTGAGAATGTTCATTCAGCTCTGTTCTTAGCTCCTGAATCAGGATTTCTAAAGAAGCTATAACAAGCCATCCAGAAAAATTAGCTCACTTTTCCTCTTCAAAAATATTCAGAATCCAAATACAGGCAAAAATAAGCACATCTCAAGATGGATATTATAAAATCAACATTCAAAATTATAAGATATTTAATAAGAACAGAACTAAAATTATTCATATTATCTTTCCAGATAGCAATATACTTGAAATGTGTCCTTGTATCTGTAAATACCAAGATCCACATTTAATTCCCAGCTCTCGCTCCCTGCTCACCATCCCAGGACTGTTTTTCGTCTCAGCAGCAAACTGATTCTTTTCGATTCAGTCTTGAGGCATTGGGAATTGAATGGAGAACAAGCTGATAGGTGCCAAGTACTTCCACAGGCAGAAGGGAGTGAGAGGGAAGGTCTCCCAGAAGCAGCAGGAGAGAGGGGTCAGCCTAGGGACAGAAGTCACTGTGTTCCCTTGGGCTACTGAGGTGCTCTCAAGGTAAAGACTTCAAGAACTGGCATTCATCAACTATGCAGTAGTTTCCAACTCTGCACTGTTTGTCACGAGAATTTTTTCCTGTACCAGGACTGAGCCCAGGGCCTTTGCATATGTCCCTCACTCTCTTTCTGTCTATCTATACTTTTATTTTGACACACGGTTTCCCTAAATTTCAAGGTTGTCCCTCCTGTACTTGAACTTGCAATCCTCAGGGAATTAAAATTTAAAATTTCTAACAACCAGTTTCACTGATTGAATGCTACACCAATGAAATCAGAGTTTGTGATGTTTTTTAAGGTTCAGGTGATCTCCCCCTGCAGCACTGTTTGGGAACTACTCCATGAGTATGAGAACCAGGTATCACCATCGTTGCCATGAAGTGAGATTCTGGACTGCAGCTCCTGGCTAAGGGAGGTGGCCCTGCTTGTTGGTTTGTGGGTGTAGCAGGCAGGGAGAGCGTCCTCTGCCTCAGACACAAAGGCCGGAACTGCCTCTGGACTCAGAAGAGCCCAGCTCTGAGAGCAGCTGGACTCCCAGCTGATATGAAGCAACCACAGGAAGAAGGGCTGTGTGGTGCTAACTACAGAAGCCAGGCTGGCATCTACAGGGTTATCTGAGGGCCAGGAGTTAAGGCCATGCTTCCGACTCAGAATTCCCACAGCACTGGTCCAGGGAAGCTGTCCACTATCCTGGACAGGGAAGCCAGGAGATGGTTGTGATGGTTACCAGGACACCAAGGCCAGCTCCCCTCACAGGCTCCTCTGTTGTGAGGACTCTGTGTGAGAACTTGCAGCAAACCAACGAAAATAAGGTTGGCAAGGAGTCTTTTTCTCATAAGGATATCAGAGACCACAGAAGGGCAGGGCAGGAAAAGGAAGGTCCTGCCAAGACTCCATAGTGTGCCAAGTCTGAAAGTTCCAAAATATCTCATCAAAACCAGGCTAAAAGAAAGTCTGTCAAAACCACGAGAGTATTTAGATGGGAACACAAACCAGTAATAATGGGAGAGGAGATAGACGGTAATATTCACCAAGACAAAGAGACTTTCAGCCAGTGAGGGGAAAAGGTAATGTTCTGAGCTGGCACAAACCCTCTATACCAAGAGCCACATTTGAGTGAAAATGATCAGACAAGAAGCAAAACAAAGATAACTATGATCAGGCTTCTCTACAGTATGGCACCAGACATTTCTGCTGCTTACGTCAGGAAAGAAAGCAACATAAAGAAATGAGAAGAAAAACAAAATTATTTTCTATTGATTTTTATGAGTACATAAATGCTCCAAAATCATTTATAGATAAATCATTGCACTTAAGAAAAGCTTACAATTAGAAGAGTAATTCATTTTGATTATTTCATTGAAACCAATATTCATCACGAGGTAGGTGTATTTGCACCATCAGTCACCGTGAATCACGCCCAAGCTGTAGAAGTCAAGTGTCATGAGTAGAGGTGCCCTGACACAAGCCATAGTAAAGAGGAAAAAGCATGAAACAAGCGAAATGAAAGGCATAATAGAAAAAATATGAAAAATATAAAAATTTTCTGGAATATTTTTGAAATTTTGTTAAACATTCAAAATATCACAAAGAAAAATATTGTTCTCACATTACACTTCTCAGATGACCTGACCATCATGGGTGAATAAACGGTAATGCTGCTGTTATGGTTTAACCTGAAATGTTACCCATGAGCCTGGCGTGTTCAGGCTTTTGTAAGATGCCTGACCTATGGGAATGATATACTCTCCAGTGGATCAGTCCACTGATGGGTTCAAGGCTGACTCTGTGGTAGGAGGTGGTCACTGACCGAGTCCTGAGAGGATGTGTGTTCTTATCCTGGGCCCCTTCCTCTCTCTCTCTGGCTC